AAGATTTAAAGATGCTTATTGTTAAAGATATTGCTTTTAACCTTGGATGGAGACCAGAAGTAGTTGGGAATGAGATAGAAAAAATCTTCAGAGTTAACTCACGGGTTGCCAGACAAAGAAACTTACCAAGAGATGTGGTTATTTACTTTTCCAGAAGATCTATTCGCAATGAAATTATACAGGCTTTTTATAAACAGAGGTTTCAAATTGCAGCTCAAGATATGATAATTTTAAAAGAAATACCTCCAAAAATCTTAAGAGGTAGAAAAGATTTTACCTTTCTGTCTGATGAGTTAAAACGTCATCAAATTCAGTTTAGATGGGAGATTCCAAGAGGAATAGTAGTGAATTATGATGGAACACGTTACAGATTAATTACAGTTTCAAAGGCAAGAGATTTTTATCACTCTGTTCTAAAGGCAAGACCATCTTCACCTCCACAAACAAGGATAATTGAAGAGCCTGTTATGGCAGGAGCCTCTTCATTGATGGTCATGGAACAAGCGGTGTTGCCTGTACAGAATCTTGAGATAAAAGATCAAAGGATGACACGAGCTGCCCACAAACGTAGAGAAAAAGAGCAGCAGCAGAAGAGTGGTGATAAAGTAAAAGGAACGGTTACTACAGAGCCTGTGGGAGGGGCAAGACCTAAAAGATCTTCAACAGTTCATCTTCAGGCTATGCTTCAGTGACTTCAGGCCGGTGGAGATGGCCAAGTTCTTGACCTGGAATGTTAATGGCTTAAATTCATCACAGAAACGGAGAAAGATCTTCCACTATTTGAAACAACATAACAATGACTTGATATGTTAGCAAGAGACTCATATAACTTCAAAGGACTCAAAATATCTGACAAATTCTCGTTTGGGATCACATTTTATAACTCCAGCTCCAGGGAAAAAAGGGGGTGTTGTAATTTATGTGAAGAAAAATTTATCGGCTAAATTAATTGAGGTTGATTCTGAAGGAAGATATGTCTTTGTGGAATTATTGCTACAAGGCAAGAAAGTTCTTATTGTTGGATTATATGTCCCTAATCAACAACAGAAGCAATTCTATAAGCTTTTGTATGGGAAGATATCTCAGTTGGATTATAAATCTGTAATTTTGATGGGTGACTGGAATGGAGTTTTGGATATAACCATAGATAAAAAGAGCTCTTCTAAAAATTTCACTCAAACTAAATTACCCAAAACTTTTTTTGATTTGAAAGAAGAGTTGGAACTTATTGACATTTGGCGAGAAAGGAATACAAGTGATAGAGATTTCACCTTTTATTCGGATAGACATCAGTCATTTTCAAGGATTGACTTCTTTTTGATTACTAGTGATATTCTTTCTAGGGTGACGAAGGTAAAAATCTTTCCCAGGACTTTGTCAGACCATAGTCCGGTGTGGATGGAGCTACATTTGGAAGATGGGAACAGAAGACCCTGGAGACTGAATGAGAATTTGTTTACTCGGGAAGAGTTTGTACAAAAATGTAAAGAGTATTTAAAGGAGTTTTTTGCTTTAAATATAAATAAGGGTACATCGATGCCCATGGTCTAGGACACCAGTAAGGCGTATATGAGGGGAATTTTTATTCATTTAAATAAAGTTTTTAGGGATAAAAGATTACAAAGATGTAGGGAAATAGAAGATGAGATTAAACTAAAAGAAGAAGCGCTTGCTCTTAACCAAACTGATAATAACTTAAAGGTTTCTATAAAGATGCTTAGGGAACAATTTAATATGTTGGTGGCAGATCAGGTGGCTACCAATCTGCGTTATATGAGACATAATACTTTTTGTAATGCGAATAAGCCTGGGAGGTGGTTGGCTTATCAGTTACGAAAGAAACAGAAGGCTAGGATTATAGAGAAAGTAAAATATAAAGGTACCGAGGATTTTCAGCAAAGTTTGATTAAAAAGAGTTTTTTAGATTTTTATACAAAATTATACTCAAGTGACAATATAAAGGGAATGGATATAGATAAATATTTACAATCAATACATTTTCCTAAACTTTCTGAGGAACAACAAAATGGGATGAACTGTTTAATTACTGTGGAGGAAATTGGTTTAGCTATTAAGCAGTTATAGGTGGGAAAGTCTCCAGGAACAGATGGATTGACGTCGACGTATTATAAAAATTTATCTGAAAAAATGCTGGAGCCATTAAAGGAGCTTTTTAATAGTATTTTGTTGGGAGAACAAGTTCCTCCTTCTTGGAAAAGAGCGTTTATATCATTGATTCTGAAGGAGGATCAAGATCTTACAGAGCCTAAGAATTACAGGCCAATATCATTATTAAATGTAGATTATAAGATTTTTACTAAAATTTTGGCAAATAGATTAATGCAGGTTATGAAGGATCTGATTCACAGTGATCAATCAGGATTCATAACAGGGCAATATATGAAATATAATGTAAGACAAATTATTAACTTAATTGAGTATCTGGATAAGAACAATCAGATTCCTGTGGCTTTTATATTTTTGGATGCTGAAAAAGCTTTTGACCAATTAGATTGGAAATTTTTATTCTCACTGGTAGAGAAAATGAATTTTGGGGATAAGTTCTTACATGCACTTAAAGCTATATATCAGCAACAATATGCTCAAATTGTTGTTAATGGGGGACTGACTGAGACTTTTAATATTGAAAAAGGGACAAGACAAGGATGTCCATTATTCCCATTGTTATTTGTTTTAACATTGGAGATTTTGTTGATCCAGATTCGAGAATCAACAGTAATCAAGGTTATAAAGATAAGAAAGAATGAGTATAAATTATGGGTTTTTGCGGATGATTTGGTTTTAATTTTGGAACAACCGACTCGAGCAGTTGATTGTCTATTAGAACTTATAACACAGTATGGGAAAGTTTCTGGTTTTAAAGTCAATAATCATAAGACTAAGATATTACCTAAGAATATGTCAGTTAATGATAAGGAAAATTTGGTTAAAGCTACAGGTTTTCAAATGGTGAAAAAGGTTAAATACCTGGGAATATATTTAACTGCTTCAAATGGAAAATTGTATAAGAATAATTATGAATTATTATGGGCAAAAGTACAAAAGGATTTAAATGATTGGAAAAAACTGCAATTGTCACTGTTGGGGAGAATTTCAGCTGTAAAAATGAATGTTCTACCAAAGTTTCTTTTCTTGTTTCAGATGATACCTATTTTAAAAAAAGATGTAAATTTGGAGGAATGGCAGAAGGGTATCAATAAATTCATTTGGGCTGGGAAAAAACCAAGGATTAAGTTTAAGATTTTGCAAGATGTCCGAGAAAGAGGAGGACTTAAAGCACCTAATTTGAAATTATATTATGATGCAGCCGCCTTAACTTGGATAAGTGATTGGCTTAATTTAACAAACAAGGATATTCTTGTTCTTGAAGGGTGGGATTTAATGTATGGTTGGCATGCATATTTAATTTTTAATAAGAAAGTGGATCGGGCTTTCAAATCACATATTTTGTGGAGTGCCTTACTTCGAGTTTGGAAAAAGTATTATTATAGGTTAAACTATAAAATACCTATCTGGGGGATTCCTAGACATGCAATTGAGGGAATTTCTAAGGGGATGAACTTTGACAAAATTTCATATAAAGAATTATTAATTTGGTCAGGTTTGGACTGGCATTTAAAATCCCTAGATGTATTAAGGCAAGAAAATATTCTACAGTCATGGTTTCAATATTTACAAATAGTGAACAGGTGGACTGTAGATAAGAAAGAGGGAATAACATTAGAAGATGAAAATTTGGTTATTCAGATTAAAGATCAGAGTCAGGCCCATATAAAAAGAATTTATAACGCTTTAATAGAATTAGACTCGGAAACAGAATTGGTCAAAGATTGTATGATTAAATGGGCTCAGAATATCCAGGAACCGATCCCATTGGACTTATGGGAGATAATTTGGATTAGAAATGTTAAATTTAAACAAGCTCAAAATTTGAGGGAAAATTTTTATAAAATGTTTTACAGATGGCATCTAGATCCTAAAAAATTATCTTGTATGTATTCAAATTTACAACCCAAATGTTGGAGATGTAGTAATATGGATGCGACATATTTTCACGTTTGGTGGAATTGTAAAAAGGCAAAGGTTTTTTGGATTATGATTTGGTGGAACATTCAAAAGATTTTTAAAAGGAAGATAAAGTTTACTCCTCAGTTATTCTCATTGGGTATTTTTGTGGGCTTAAATGACAAAGAAACTGTTTTAATGTTGAATTTATTAACTGCAGCAAGGTTACTAGTAGGCTTATACTGGAAGAAAGATTCATTGCCTACTTTAGAAGAATGGATATTTAAAGTTTCTAATTTTGCAGAAATGGCAAAAATTTCTGCTTATTTGAAGGATACACAAGAAAGATATATTATTGTATGGAGACGATGGATAGATTATATTCAGAAAAAGTATGGGACTACAAAGTTTCATTTATTTTATGAGTAAATTTTATAGCAAATGTTGTAGAGATTTGTTTATGATGATTTAATTTAAGGGGAGTTAAAGGTTAAGTATGATATTTTTTCTTTCCTTTCCTTTTCTTTTTTCTTTTCCTTTTTTATTGTTAACTTTCTCATTAATAACCCTGTACTCTGCTCTGGGAAGTGAGGGGGGGAGGGTTGAGGGTGGGTGGGTGGGTGGGTGAGTGGGTGGGTAAGGATTATATAGCTATGGTAGTTTACGAGAGACGTGCTGCTTGAGCATTTCCCCTATGTTGCGTTCATGTGTTTGAGAGGGATGAGAGGGGAGGAAGGTGCAGGGAGGAAGTAGGATGGTAAGAGGAGAAGGGGAGGGGAAGAAAGTAGGAGGGGAGGAGAGAAAGAGGAGGGAAGTAGGGAAGGTACCAGAGAGGGTGGATATGGCCTGGGGGGAATGGGCAGGCAGTACCAATGGTTATGAATTTATTTTATCTTGTGAATTGTATTTTGTATGAATAAATGGAAAATAAAAAAAATTATTATAAAAAAAATTATTTTTTAAAAAAAGGTAATATTGATTTTAATAATCACTTTGTTAGACATGCCATATTAAGAGTATGGAACAAGTATAAAAGAAGATTCTCCATAAAGTTGCCTCTTTGAGTATTCCCACAGAAAGCTTTATTTAGAAAAGAAATTGTTGTGAAACGGGACTAGTGGACCTACGGTAAAATAATAATTTTCAACTCAGGTGACCCTATTCTTAAATCGAGTGAAGAGTTAGAATCAGAGGGTTATGTTTATCATTGGTTTACATACCAACAACTGAAAGAAAGATTTAAACTAGATAAAAAGTATTATTGACTTCATTAAAAATTAATTGGAAACATTATTGTGTGGCAGTAATGAACATATTTTTATAAGAATTTTATTAGTTTTTCTCTTACACACATATGTTAATTTTTCAACCAACGTGCTGTCTGGATTCAAAAATGCTAATACATAATCAATTCCTAATCCTTGGTTCTTTCCTCTAGCCATTTGTGGAATAACTCCCAAATTTGGTAGTATTCTGTTTCTTCTTTATCTTTCAATCTCATAGTTAATCTGTCCATCTCTGTGCATTCCAATATTTTTTAATTACTTCTTCCTCTGGTGGTGCTGCTTCGTTTTTCCAATATTGCGCGAATACTATTCTTGCTGCTGTTATGGTGTGTAAAACCAAATATAAACTTTGTTTATTAGTCTTTTCTGGCATTATATCTAGTTTAAAAAGTTCAGTTTTAAATTCCACATGTTCTCCCAAACATTTTTCTAACCAAACATGTATCTTTTTCCAATAAATCTTTGCTTTACCACATGTCCACCAAATATGATAATACGTGCCTAAATTATGTTTACATTTCCAACGTCTATCTGACATAGTTTTAAACATTTTTGCTAATCTTGCTGGTGGCAAGTGCCATCTATAAAACATTTTATATAATTTTTCTTTATACAAGGTTGACATTGTCAATTTATAGTTTCTCTCCCATAATTTTTGCCATTTTACTCAGATGTTGACTATAAGCAGTGATTTCCATATTGACCCAGAATTTGACTGTGGGAAGAATTTGATTAGAAGGATGTGTGGGATTTCTTTGGCAAATTAATAATATTAAAACTTTTTTTGGCTGTCTCAAAGTCTCTCGGGTGTATATCCTGGGAACCTTGAAAATACTTTCAGATTTTACTATAAATGTAACACGGAGCCAGTACAAATGTCTTCAATCATCTGCAGTTCCATGTATTTGAATCATCTGCAACTCCTGAAGTCAATGTCATCTTTCCTTTCCTTGTTTAGCTTTCTAAAGGAGTCGACAGATACATCTCCAAGTTTGAAATTGATAATAATATGGTTCAGAAAGGAGCTGTTGTCATTTACTTAGACAAGGTAAATACGGAATCAATTTCTTTGAGTAGTGGCATGGTTTGTTACTTGGTTTGCTAGGCAAACCGTGGAGTGTGCTATCCTGAAAAGACAGGATGTATATTCAGCAAAATAAACCTACATAATCCAACATTAACTGCAATGTATCTGTGGACTGGAACCGGGCCACGGCATGCCAGAAACCAGGCCACACAAACAAGTGAAGCCTCATCCACGGGATGTAAGCAGCATGGGAAATCATGCCCCCTCAGGTCCTCAGAAAAACCTCTTTTCACGGAACCAGTCCCTGGTGCCCAAAAGGTTGAAGGCTGTTGGTCTAGGTCACCTAGTGCTCTTTGGATAATAAAAAAGAAGCATGAAATATAAATAAATAAATAAATGTGCAAAGAAGACATGAGAATAGAATAGAATAGAATAGAATGGGACCTTGGAGGTCTTCTAGTCCAGCCCCTACTCGAACAGGAGAACCTATACCATTTCAGACAAGTGACTGTCTAGTCTCTTCTTAAAAATCTCCAGTGATGGGAGCACCCACGACTTCTGAAGGCAAGCTGTTCCACTGGTTAATTGTCCTCAGTGTTAGGAAGTTTCTCCTTAATTCCAGATTGCTTCTCTCTTTGGTCAGTTTCCAACCATTGTTTCTTGTCCTGCCCTCTGGTGCTTTGGAGAATAGTTTGATAACCTCTTCTTTGTGGCAGTTCCTCAAATACTGGAATACTTCTATCATGTCGCCCCTGTTTCTTCTTTTCTTTTTTTTTAAACCATGTTTTATTATTTTTTTACCATCACAAATCCTTAGTATCTTCTTTTCTTTAGACTAGCCAAACCCAAGTCCTCCAGCCATTCTTCATATGTTTTAGTCTCCAGGCCTTTGATCACTTTAGTTGCTCTTCTCTGAACGTGATATGACAGAATAGTCTCTTAATTCTTTAACTTTTGACCAGTATTTTCTGAAGCATCATTTCAACCTGCTGCTCCTCTCATCTTTTTCATTGCTTACCCCTTATTCTGGGAAACCTGGACAGATTTCCAGAATTTAATACTTCAGTCAATGGTCAGACCTGAGGAACTTGGAATAAGCAGTTTCCTTGAGGTTATTTGGATAGAGCTTCAGAAAAAAAAAATATCTCCATGGGTAAACTAGCACCCACAAATTATCTTCTCTCTCCATCCCAGGTCTTCCACTCTGAGAATGAATATCTGCATTTTAAGATTCTCAAGCATTTTGAAGTTGGCTTCAGTCAGCCAGGATCAGTCAAGATGTACAGCTACTACAATCTAGGTAACGGCAGACATATTGAACACCCCTTCCTCCTCCTAATTTTCCCACAACAACAACCCTGTGGAGTGAGTCAGGTTGTAACAAATGGTTGTAAATGGTTATAATTAAATCTATATTAATCATAGATTTCTTGATGTGATGTATAGTCAGATATTTTAATTCTTCCTTCAGATGAACAATGTTCCAAGTTCTACCATCCAGATAAAGGAACAGGCCTTCTCAGTAAGATATGTCATAGTAATATTTGCCGATATGCAGAAGGTAAGTTGGGATAAATAAGGTAAATGTTGTCTCTGAGCACCAAAATGGACAATTTGAGGAAGAGATAGTATGGAATCTGCCCCCCTTTTTAAATCTAATAGTATGACCAAAGCAAATAATACCAAGGAAATAGAGAAAAACAAAATGTATTCATTCAATATGAATATTTAACACATGCCATTCTCCTGTGGGACATGCCCCTGTCTCATGACCGTGGCCAATTTCCTTCCTTTTGCCTGTTTCTCATTCCCCTGAGAGTCGGTCAGCAGTTGGACAAGCAACTGCAGAAAGAATGATCAGGGAGTATGGTAGAAGATCAGAAGTTGGTACGTCTTTCTCTTTGTCAACTCAGAGCATGTGTCTTTTGGCTCCCTGCTTCCCAGTTGATCTCTCTCTCTCTCTCTCTCTCTCTCTCTCTCTCTCTCTCTCTCTCTCTCTCTCTCTCTCTCTCTCTCTCTCTCTCTCTCTCTCTCTCTCTCTCAATCTCTCTCCCTCCCTCTCTCCTTCCCCCCCCCCTCTGACATAGAAAGAAAAACAGATTAGGAAACAGGCAAACAAGCTTAGTGTCTCTGCTGTTGTACTCAGGTATGACATACATAACAAAAATGAAGATTAGACAATCAGAATGAAGTAGCAAGTTGCCAGAACATTATGTTTAGAACCATTTAAGTCCTGCTCATCTACAAAGTGTATCTATTGATTTAAGGCTATTTCTTCTATCATTGTTGTGAAAATAATGTAAAAAGAACTGAAATGATTTGATATTCCTATAGATTAAATGAATTCGCATTCTGAAATTAATCTATAATTAACCACTAAATGGTTAAACCATTAATAAATCCCTATATGAGTGATAAATTCCAGATAATTTATAGATCTCTTCTCAAAATGCAATTTTCTTGCTGAAAATCTTTGTTTTGTTTTATTTATAGTTGAAAAAGAAGATACAAAAGATTGCTAGAACAGAGTTTGTTGCAGTTATTATTTCAGAGCATAATAAACCTTATATCAGAGCTACCGGATTTACTTTTGAAAGACCCAGTGTTTTCTTTGCTCATTAAATTCAGTACAAATCTTATCTGATTTTCTCTTTAGAGAAAATAAGGAAGTGCATCTGATAATGTAGACCACAACCTACTACTTGATAAGATATAAAAATGTGGGAAAGACTTCATCACCATCAGATAGATTTGTAACTGGCCGACAAAGCACACTCAACGTGAAGTCCTTAATGGAGCTGCATCTACATGGAGGGAAGTGTGCAGTGGGGTATTCCAAGGGTTAAGCGTAGCACTCTTCAATATCTTTATCAATGATTTAAATGAGGGGATAGATGGGGGACTCATCAAATTCACAGAGGACACTAAGCTGGCAGGAATATGCAATACTCCAGAAAATAGGTTTAAGATACAGTAGGATCTTGACAGATTTGAACACTGAGCGCTATCTAACAAAATGAAATTCAATGGTAAAAAAGTAAGGTTCTATATTTAGGCAAGAAAAAACAAATGCACAGGTATAGTATAGATGGTACCCAACTCAATAGTAGTAACTGCAAGAGGGATCTTGGAATCCTAGTGGACAATCAGTTAAATATGAGCAACAGTGTGCTGCAGCTGCCCAAAAAAAAGTCAACACAGTCCTAGGCTGAATTAACAAAGGGATAGAATCAGGATCACGTGAAGTGTTAATACCACTTTATAATGCCTTGGTAAGGCCACACTTGGAATACTGCATCCAGTTTTGGTTGTTGTTGTTGTTAATTGCAAAGTCGTGTCTGACCCATCGCGACCCCATGGACAACGTTCCTCCAGGTCTTCCTGTCCTCTACCATCTTCTGGAGTCCATTTAAGTTCACACCTACTGTTTCAGTGACTCCATCCAGCCATCTCATTCTCTGTCGTCCCGTTCTTCTATTGCCCTCAATCTTTCCCAACATTAGGCCCTTCTCCAGTGAGTCCTTCCTTCTCATTAGGTGGCCAAAGTATTTGAGTTTCAACTTCAGGATCTGGTCTTCTAAAGAGCAGTCGGGGTTGATCTCTTCTAGGACTGACCGGTTTGAACGCCTTGCAGTCCAAGGGACTCGCAGGCGTCTTCTCCAGCACCATAGTTCAAAGCCTCAATTCTTTGGCGCTCAGCCTTTCTTATGGTCCAACTTTCACAGCCATACATTGCAACTGGGAAAACCATGGCCTGGACTATACGTACTTTTGTTGGCAGGGCGATGTCTCTACTTTTTAGTATGCTGTCTAGATTTGCCATAGCAAGCATCTTTTAATTTCTTGGCTGCAGTCCCCATCTGAGGTGATCTTTGAGCCCAGAAAAATAAAATCTGTCAGTATCTCCATTTCTTCCCCATCTATTTGCCAAGAATTGAGAGGGCCGGATGCCATGATTTTGGTTTTCTTAATGTTGAGTTTCAAACCAACTTTTGCACTCTCCTTCTTGACCCGCATCAAGAGGCTCTTTAGTTCCTCTTCACTTTCTGCCATTAGAGTGGTATCATCTGCATATCTTAGGTTGTTGATGTTTCTCCCGGCAATCTTAATTCCAACTTTTGATTCATCTAGCCCTGCCTTTCTCATGATGCGCTCTGCATATAAGTTAAATAGGCAGGGCGACAGTATACAGCCTTGCCGGACTCCTTTTCCAATTTTGAACCAATCAGTGGTTCCGTGTCCAGTTCTCACTGTTGCTTCTTGACCTGCATATAAGTTTCTCAAGAGACAAATGAGATGGTCTGGTACTCCCATCTCTTTAAGAACTTGCCATAATTTGTTGTGATCCACACAATCAAAGGCTTTAGCATAGTCAATGAAGCAGAAGTAGATGTTTTTCTGGCACTCCCTAGCTTTCTCCATGATCCAGCGTATGTTGGCAATTTGATCTCTAGTTCCTCTGCCTCTTCGAAATCCTGCCTGTACTTCTGGTAGTTCTTGATCCACATACTGCTGGAGTCTAGCTGTAGGATTTTAAGCATAACTTTACTAGCATGTGAAATGAGTGCAATGGTGCGATAGTTTGAACATTCTTTGGCAGTGCCTTTCTTTGGAATTGGAATGTAAACTGACCTTTTCCAATCCTGTGGCCACTGTTGAGTTTTCCAAATTTGCTGGCAAATTGAGTGTAGCACTTTTACTGCATCGTCTTTTAAGATTTTGAATAGCTCAGCTGGAATACTGTCACCTCCACTAGCTTTGTTGTTGCTCAGATTTTCTAAGGCCCATGTCACTTCACATTCTAGGATGTCTGGTTCGAGGTCAATGACCATCTCATTGTGGTTATCTGGGATGTTAAGCTCATTCTTGTATAGTTATTCTGTGTAGTTTTGCCATCTCTTCTTAATCTCTTCTGCCTCTGTTAGGTCTCTGCCATTTTGGTCCTTTATCATGCCCATCTTTGCATGAAACGTTCCCTTCATATCTCCACTTTTCTTGAAGAGATCTCTGGTCCTCCCTCTTCTGTTGTTTTCTTCTATTTCTTTGCACTGTTCATTTAAGAAGGCATTCTTATCTCTTCTAGCTACTCTCTGGAATTCTGCATTCAAGTGGGTGTATCTTTCTCTTTCTCCTTTGCCTTTTGCTTCCCTTCTTTCCTCAGCTATTTGCAAAGCTTCCTCAGACAGCCATTTTGCTTTCTTGCATTTCTTTTTCTTTAGGATGGTTTTAGTTGCTACCTCTTGTACAATGTTGCGAACTTCCATCCATAGTTCTTCAGGTACTCTGTCTATCAGATCTAATTCCTTAAATCTATTTGTCACCTCTATTGTATATTCATCAGGAATATGATTTAGTTCATACCTGAGTGGCCTAGAGCTTTTCCCTACTTTTTTCAATTTAAGCCTAAATTTTGCAACGAGAAGCTCATGATCTGAGCCACAGTCAGCTCCTGGTCTTGTTTTTACTGACTGTATAGAGCTTCTCCATCTTTGGCTGCAGAGGACATAGTCAATTTGATTTCTATGTTGACCATCAGGTCATGTCCATGTGTAGAGCCGTCTCTTGGGTTGTTGGAAAAGAGTGTTTGTTATGACCATCGTATTCTCTTGACAAAATTCTATTAGCCTGTGCCCTGCTTCATCTTGTACTCCAAGGCCAAACTTGCCTGTTATTCCGGTTATCTTTTGGCTTCCTACCTTAGCATTCCAATCCCCCATGATGATAAGGACATTATTTTTTGGTGTTAATTCTATAAGGTGCTGTAGGGCTTCATAGAACCGGTCAATTTCATCCTCTTCAGCACCGGTGGTAGGGGCATAGATTTGGACTATTGTGATATTGAAAGGTTTGCCTTGGATTCGAATTGAGATCATTCTGTCATTTTGGGGATTGTATCCCAGTATTGCTTTTCCTATTCTTTTATTGACTATGAAGGCTACTCCATTTCGTCTGAGGGATTCTTGCCCACAGTAGTATACCTGATGGTCATCTGAGTTAAATTCACCCATTCCTGTCCATTTTAGTTCGCTGATTCCTAAGATGTCGATGTTCAGTCTTGTCATCTCTTTTTTGACTACGTCTAGCTTGCCTTGATTCATGGATCTTACATTCCAGGTTCCTATAGAGAAAAAATCTTTACAGAATCGGACTTTCCTTTCACCACCAGATATATTCACAGCTGAGCGTCCTTTCGGCTTTGGCCCAGTTGCTTCATTCTTTCTGGCGCTACTAGTACTAGCCTTCTGCTCTTCCCCAGTAGCATATTGGACACCTTCTGACCTGAGGGGCTCATCTTCCAGGGTCATATCTTTTTGCCTTTTAGTACTGTCCATGGGGTTTTCATGGCAAAGATACTGGAGTGGTTTGCAATTTCCTTCTCCAGTGGATCACATTTTGTCAGAACTCTCTGCTATAACCTGTCCGTCTTGGGTGGCCTTGCACAGCATAGCTTATAGCTTCATTGAGTTACGCAAGCCCCTTCGCCATGACAAGGCAGTAATCCATAAAGGGTTTTGGTTACCACAATGTAAAAAAGATATTGAGACTCTAGAAAGACTGCAACAAAGATGATTAAGGGACAGGAGGCTAAAAGATATAAAGAACGGTTGTGGAATTGGGTATGTATAGTGTAATCAAAAGAAGGACTAGGTGTGACATGATAGCAGTGTTCCAATATCTAATCCATCCTCAAAGAAGAAGGGGTCAAGCTATTCTCCAAAGCATCTGAAGGCAGGACAAGAAGCAATGGATGCAAATTAACCAAGGAGAGAAGCAACTTAGAACTAAGAAGAAATTTTCTGACAGTTAGAACAATTAACCAGTGGAATGACTTGCTCCAGAGATTGTGGGTGCTCCAACACTGGAAAATTTTTAAGAAAAGACTGGACAACCATTTGTCTGAAATGGTCTAGGGTTTCCTGCCTGATCAGG